GTATTTTCAGCCATTAATTTCGGTCAGGCTTAGTTGGAATTTAGGAGATATTTTGCTCAAATATTAATGAGCTTGTATGGCAAGAAAGTGGGGGTCAAGTGGTGCGTTCAATCGGTAGTGCGCGGGACCCGCCGGTTCGCGCCGTTTTTCTTAAAAACTCACGTACTAGGGTTTTTAATTCCCATTCACTAACCTTATATCATTGCTACTAGTCTCATATTATTTCTCACTTAAAAGTCACTTTTAATCCTCAAATTTAATCCTTACTCTGTACCGAAAATTCATCCGGCGAAAAATCGCGAAAACCCTAATTTTGCTCCAAACTTGAAACCGAAGCGTAAAACCCTATTTTCTAGGTTTACTTACACTTATTGTGAAATAATTGGGTAGTGGGCTTTGACAAATAATAATTTTCAAATAAAAGGGTATTTTTGAGGAAAAATACAAGGAATTTGCGAGTCCTCACAGACCGGTTACATCCTTCTTGTATTGAAGACCAATTACATTTCTCTTGTAGTGGTTGAACTGGGCCTTGGACCTTATTCGAGACGTCGGGTAAGTGGAATCTAGGTCTACTCATGTGTATGCGTGAATGTAGGTCGGTAACGACTGAACTGAGTCCTCGTTGGACCTCTTGCTTCAGACCAGCCTCAAAGCGGTCGAGTAAGCTGGGCAATCTTACATAAAGGACAAGTTCCTAACCTATTTATTCTTGACTGGAATTCATCACTTGAACACTGATATTACTGAATACGGAGCGTTAAGTGGCAACTTACGTCTCCAATCAATTACTGTGTGAGCGTTGGATAACAGCCAACGACTCCAATCTTGATTACCTGAATACTTGGAGCTATAAGCCAAATCCTAAATTACTGAATATCTGGGACTATAAGTCAACCCAAGGCTAGTATGTCGAATCAAACCGGCAAGGGCTTGGCCGAGGAAATCGATGAACCTTGAGTACTTCTTTGTGTTCGGCGTCCGGTAAGGGGTATGTTGGTGGACGGAAATTAGTGTAAAGTGGTAATCTACGGACATTATAATTTTATGGTTGACGGAGAGTCAACAGACCTTGATCAAGCTACAGTGGAACTTGCTCCTGAAAGCAATCTATATGCTTTGCCATGAATGTGTTCTTTACTGTACACTTTTACATGTTCTATCTGGCTATTTGCTTAACTATATACTGAATCATGATCATTTGATTTTGACTTGTTTCTTGATATCCGGTGTATGGTCTTGCCTGTTATATTACCTGCTTGTTTTCTTGGAACCTCACTGGCTTCTCGCTCATTCTATGAAATTTGTTTTCCTTACAGGAGTAAGAACGTGAGAATGGGAGTGGAGAAGGCATAGACTTTGTCTAGATTTTGTTAGCTTCTAGCATGAGCACTTCATAGCTGACTAACTGATTTGTTTGGTGTATTTTTGCAAGTGACTCCTTGGCTGTACTATAGATTGTGGAGACATTGGAGGTCCATGAGTGTATATATTGAAGGTTGTACTTAATATCGCTTTTATTTTGAGGTTATCATTTGTAAATTTTATGAATTGTGACTGAGTCCTGGCGAGAGTTGGGCAGGCAATCCGCCAAATCCTTGGGTATGCCTAGGGGGAGGTGGGGCTGTCACAGAATGAATGTTTTATTCCAAGTAATGGTAGTTTTTATAAAGCATAATCAAAATAATGGAATTCAAGTTGCCTTGTGATGGAGCAATCCAAGAAATTGCATACTTTTCATGCTCCATAGTCGCATTTAGAAACCTTTTAATGATTGTTTAGCAACAGTGTGATATTTAGAAGTGAAGTAGTACTAATTTTTTTTAGTTTTCTACATGTTTTAAATTTCTGAGTTCTGATTATCTTCTTTGTGTCCTTGATGTTTGAAGGTGTATTCCAAATTTGCACTTCAATAAAAAGGATAGAACTAGTACATTTCAAAAACCATTCAACTAGTACAATGGTTCTGAGGAACAAAATTGCAAGTTTTTTGTGTTTGAATGAATTCTTGACCATCATAGACCTTATTGAATAATTGATCCAACATATTATACTTTGCATTTGAGTTCCTTTCCATTTCCGTCCTAATAAAAAAATGTCTCTGGTAAAATTTGTGACAGCCCCACTTCCCCTAAGGCGAACCAAAGAGGTTAGCGGACTGCCTGCCCAGCTCTCGCCAGGACTAACGGTGGCAGTATAAAGCGATCTATCACGTTCTGAAAGTTATAAACGCGCGTAAACAAGGCAAACGGCAAATAACCCAAAATTTAAAATGAATCCAGAGTCGGCCATGAATAGTAACCGACCGTCCGAAACCCAACCAAACATCGAAATACATATACAACATAACATTAACCATTTACAAGCCAAAAGGGCATACCAAAACCATTCATCATGGAAGTACATATTTGGTTTGCCTATCAAAAGGAAATGAACCGATACACATTAGGGTTTCATTTCTAGAGCTATACAAAAGACATTTACTTGCCCAACTTGGCAATTGACTATCCAATCCATTCTCAAAAGTAATTATATCCTGTAAGGAAAACAAATAACACGGAATGAGCTAAAGCCAGTGTATACCACTACATGAGCAACCAAAGTCACATAAGAATGACTTTCATTTAAAGTGCACAATTATAAAAGTAAACAAGTCGGAAAAGGATACGGAGGGCTCTCAAGACCCATTTCCACCTTGCAATCTTGATCCAACCTCATTGACTCTCCGTCAATGTTAAAAGTACAAAACCGTAGACCACCCTTTACTTCCAATCCTCCACCAAACATACCCCACCGGGCCCGCACTTCATCTCAGTAGCTTTGGTAATACTCGAGTATACCGGAACCAAAGTCTCATTACTACAAGGTTCCTCAGTACAGTCCCCGTGGCATGACAATTTTCACGACCAAGCCCTCGCCGGCTCGATCCAATTGACTACCAAACGGGGTTGAGCTCAGTAATACAGTAAAGGCTTGGACATTCGTCAAACGACACCAAAGCAGTTTCCATGAAATGGAATTCACCAACCAATATATCAAGTTCAGTAATGCAGTAAAACGGTAGCCAATCAGTGATACTATCAAAAGGGGTGAGGGCGGTCAAGTACACACCTTAATCAATTCCAATATCCAATTAAGCCTTCAAGGCATCACATATACATTAGCAAAGCCACATAGTAATAATTAAGTGAGTAGTATACTCACCAAGCAAGAAAGTGGTGTTTCATACACGTGGTCACCAATCGCCGTGAACTATCCATCACGCCCTAGAATCACGCAACAAATGCAATGAGACTCGATAACGAGTCATATAGAAATGCTGAACAACCCCAATAGGGTTTCATATGCATAAATAAGCATGATAGCAAACCAGAAATTAGAGATAGCTTTAGTCTTAGCCCCGAATAGAAAAACTGTTTTGCCCTTATTATGCGGTAATGGCGCCAATTCACTACGGTTATCGGATGGGGGTGTAAGATCCACCGTTTCGAAGCTATGAAACAGGGCTAAAACAATGTAGAAGGTCACTCACTCCAGTTCCTAGCTTAACTAGGTCAAAAATGCCAAATTCTAAACCAGAATGACCAAAACAGGTTTGTAAATCACACAAAACTGTAATCAGTATAATCGTCCATACAAGTCCAAATGCCGAAATTCAAAGGCATATGGTAGCTAAGACATCCAGCTACATTTCATCAGAAGACACCAACAACAAAATCCAAACCGATTCCAGTCAAAATGGCCAATTACCATTGCAGATTTCGCATTCTGTCCAAAGCAGAACAGCTACAGTAATTCCGTCATATCTCACTCTACACTAATCCAAATGACCTGAAATTTTACAGGCACCTCAAACACATCAATACCTAAAACTTTCATGTTTGAGCAAAGTCCAATTCGGCCTCTAACCCATGATCCAAAACCGGACAGAATTAGGGGTCTTCAAACCCTAACTTTTCACAATTCACTCCAAATCCAAAATTGGTTGCATTTATCAACAATTCACACCTACTAGAGTCATTTTAAACCATTACCATTCATCATACAAGGCCATATCCCATTCATATTAAACCAGAAAATTCATCATAAAATGGAAAACTTCACCAAATCACTTCAAATAAAGAAATAAATCACATATTCCATCACTCATGCCACCATTAAGCACAAAATAAGCATCATTAGAGGTAGTAGGGTGTTCAAGCATCACTTACCAAGAAATCAAGAGAGAGAGGGATGTTGGCCACCTTAGACCTTCAAACAAACTTCACTAAGACACTTACTAGCACTAGAAGGAAAGATTTTATGGAGTGGAATCTAGTGTAGGCTTTTGTTCTTGGAAGATTGAGTGAAATGGAAGCTTGAAAGTTGAGGAAATTTCCTTCCTTCTTGAGCTAGGGAGATCCGGCCACCAAGGAGAAGAAAATGGTGAATTTTGTGCAATTTTTTGATATTTAATCCTTTGGTCAAAAAAGTCAAGAAAGTGAATAGTAATTCTTAAAGTCCACCCAATGAGAAAGTGACACTTGTCACTCTCATTAATGCATTCCTATCCTTTCTTTCTCTCTCACATCAATCATTTCACACACTCTACTTATCTCTTAACACCCGATAAATTTTACACAGTATCCGAAACTTAACCTTATTGGCCGAATTTTTCCGAACTTTTCACACTAGTGGGTCCCACGTCCAATATATATCCTAATTTTCTAAAAATTCACCAATGCTAGAAAAATCATCTAAAAACTATAATTGCTCATAAAAATCTACCAGAAAAATATTTCTAAGCCAGAAAATACAAAAAAAAAAATTATGCAATTAAGGGGTAATAAACCCTAGGAAAATATTAGGGTTTTACGAGTTCTCACAGGCAAGGTCTGGCAAGTTCTCCTTAGCTCGGCCTATCAGGAGGTACGCCCGGTTGGTAACTCTTCATTTATGTTTTCTAGGGTTTGGCAAAGGCCGACCCCAATGAAAGTATCATTCTTCATGGGTCGTCTCCTATGGGGCGGCTGCCCTTGGATGACGTGCTCCACATGCTTGGTTTTCAGGTAGCTTCCAAATGTTGGTGTTGCTCTCATCCGTCGGTCGAGTCTTTTGAACATGTTTTTTCGACGGGTCAGGTTGCAGAGGTAGTCTGGGAGTTTTTTGAGGGGCTGTGTGGCATCTCTAGTTCAGTTCCGTATGTACGGGCCTCGCTTCTTGGTGGTTGGCCTCACCCAGATCGAAGAGACGGCAAGCTATCTACCATATTCTGCCGAGCCTTATCTGCTGGCATCTTTGGAAGGCGAGGAATCGTGCAGTTTTTGAAGGTATTTCAGCTGCAATCCAATTCAATTTGTCAGGCTATCTTTCGGGAGACTAAGGTTTTGCTTGAAGGTCAGCTCAAGGAGCGGGTTGAGCCCCAGTCATTCTTGCAGTTGTGTGAATGGGCATCTCAGTCACGTGGGAGTTTTGGTTTTAAATTGGTTTGTTGGAAACCAGCTATAGAGGGGGAGTTCACCCTGAACACGGATGGCTGCTCCAAGGGTAATCCTGGGCTAGGCGGGGGGGTAGGGTTTTACGGGACATTGTGGGGCGACCATTGGTAGGGTTTTCGGCTTTCTTTGGGGCGACATCTAGTCTTCATGCCGAAACACTAGCTCTCTTGATGGGCCTTCGGATATGTGGTCAGAAGGGGGTTACAGATGTGAGCATCCAGTTAGACTCTCTGGTCTTGGTTGGCATTCTTCAACGTGGTTTGCAGTGTCCTTGGCATATTCGTGGGGAGGTCCGGTAGATTTGGAACCTGGTTAGGGACCCGTCTAGATTCTCTCATTGCTTCAGGGAGGCTAACAAGGTAGCAGATACTTTGGCTAATGTAGAGGTAGCCCACCCTCTATGAGCACTGGAGTGACTGACCGCCTGCTGGCCCGTGGAGGAGTTAGCCTCGATAGCATCGGGTTCCCTTCCCTTAGGACGGTGCGAAACCCCTAATCCTCGGTCTTCTGTCCTCTGATCTTCTATCTGTACTATGACTTCCATTATGAATAAAAGCGGGGGTGGCGTCCCTTCCCTTTGTCGGGGTTAGCCAAAAAAAAAAAAGATTGAATTGTTGTATTTATTTTAAATAGGGTCTGCGTACCCTGCCTCTCTTAATTTCTGGTTGTAATTTCTCTTCTTATCTAAGTCTCCCGAATATAACTCGGGGTTTCTTCTATACTATTTGTAATATATATTAGATAGAAGATAGATGACAGGAAATTGTATAAATAGCATAGAAATTGTAACTTGAAGATGAAGAAAAGGAGCCATGCAACAAAGAGGGGAATTTCTTGTGGTTTTCGATTAAACCCTAGTCAACCACTAATTTCCCTAATGGGTGGGGAAATTAGTTTAGAAGTATCCACAACCATCCACGTTTTAATTTCATGCTTATATATGTTTTTGAAATGTTTATTTGCATGTCTATTGATGAGACCAACAAGCAAATTTTTCAAAACTTTAATTACAAAAGGTTTTGGAGAAGGAGACAAATCCCTCAAATGCAACATTAGATCAATAATAAAAGTTGCCTTCCATCATTAAAGTATAAAACCAGAGTAGTTATTAAGTGCTAGCTTGTTAGGATTCACCCAAGGCTGCCTTACTTACTATATGTTTTTACTATGAGAAATGTTCTCAAGAATGATGGGTACGATTTAACTAAAATTATGGTATGTTGGGATTCACTCAAGACCATTAATTTTAGAGGCAATGGTTGGGTTAATACATAAAGATGTAAAATCAAGAGTTGATACCTGACTTATCTAGAAATTACAATTAATTTGTAATTGGTAAAGTACCTACCTTTCAAAATTAGTTTTGATTTGTTAGGATTCACCCAAGGTCAAAATTCCCTTAGTTTAGATTATTTTATTTTCACATGCATTTTCTTTATTTTACTTTACTATATGAAATTTCAAAGATTTTTATAAGTGAGTATAGGTTTTAAATCATTTTCCTAGTGTAAGTCAGTTCATGATAAGTTTGAAGTGCATTATGGATGTGGGACCCGCTAGTGCGTTAAGTGCGATAAATTTTTGACGATTAATTGAAGTTTTATATTAAGGGACATTATTTTACATGGTGCTAGGAGACAATTAGAGGTTAACTAGATAGATTAACCTTGAGAGAAAGAAGATAAGCTTAAAACCCTAACAGTTGCCACATGTCACGACCCGATTGGAAGTTGGACTTTTGACCATGGTTATTAACTTTCCCAAAATCAGATTTTGACCAAAAATTTCCCATTTCTTATCCCTTCTTGGCCGAACCTCTTAGAGGAGAAAAAAAGGAAAACCTTCAACTCCAACTCCATTTTTCTTGCTCAATCTTGAGTTTCAACCAACCAAATCACAAACTACTCCATAAAAGTTGTTTACTAAGGAGGATTAAAGCTTGTAGTGGAGTGATTTTGGGAGGAAAGATACTAAGCTACCATTTTCTTGAGGTTTCAAGGTAATTTGCTAAGAAAATTCCTCTTTGCTTCTAATAGTTGCCAATTATTGGCTTATAGTTGTTAAATATGTTGTTTTGTAGAAGATTTCATGGTTTGAGCTAGAGTTAAGTTAAATTTCAGTTTTATGGTGTTATTTCTGCCCTCATGTGATGAGTAATGGTTGGCCATAGAATGATAGCTTTATATTCAATATAAAATGAAGCATTGGTATGCTAGTTTTGATTGCCTAAGAAATTTTCCAGCTTGGGTGCAAAAATTCCAGCTTTAGGGTTTCTAATTTGAGCTACCATTTGGTTGTATTTGAAGGGTATTGTGACCCTAATTAGGTGTGTTCAATAGCTTGTGATTTATATGGGAAATTGTGGCTGAAATGAGATAAGATTGGGTGTTGATGTTAGGTTGGAAAAGTAAAGAAAAACAAGGGAAGTGCTGCTGAAATTTTCGCAGGAACCCTTGAGCAGTTTTGGAAAATTTGCTATATCTTGTCGTAGAAATATTGGAATTGAGTTCTGTTTGTTGTGTTTTAAACTAGATTCATAAATCTATAAACCATGAAAATTTCAGACCCTGGTTCTGTCTGTACAATTTATGGTGATTTTTCAAAGTTAACGGAAATTGCATACCTGTTCTGTCTTTTACTGGATAAAACAGCAATTTGAGGCTCGAATTTGATTGACTTGTGATCTAAATCTTATAACTGTGTCTTTTGAGAAATTGTACCCCTTTGAGACTATTTTCCGACAGTATAAATTTTATCAATTTTGGACTTAAGAATCTTGAGATATGATGTTTCAAATGGTAGTGCGCAAAACTGGAAAATCCTGTTTTCCTAAAATTGTCCTTACTCTCATTTTTCACCTTAAGTTTGGAGTTAGTAAATCATTGTAAGTATGGTTTTTGATAGAAATGTAGGGTTTTGGGGTTTTGTTCTTGTTGTAGAACCAACCGCTACCGTTTTACTCCGAAACCACACCTTTATCTCTTTGTATTTTACTCCGAAACCACACCTTTATCTCTTTGTATTTGAATAGGCATACGACTAGTAGTCGAGCCTCACTTGTGCATTCCGTTCACTCCATTTTGGACATGAAAACTTCAATTGTTTTAGTTTGGTTATTCTTAGGGTTTCATGGTGATCAAAGCCCTACTTTGGAGTGAAAACGTTTGAAGTGGTTTGTTAGAACTGGTGAATGTACCACTCCCCTCATTTGTTGCTTAACTTGATTTCTATACATGCAATCTGTGATTTGAATGACTGTACTATCTATTTATTCTTTTTGAGACAAAGGTGTACTTTATCACACCCGTTCTCTTGTCTATATGCCCATTTACTGTGAAAATTTGACTCTATTATCTGTGCTTAATCTGACGTCGGTTGGAGACTCGTATCCAACGACCTTTCTGTGACCTCTGAGTTCAAAACCTGTGGCTAGTTACTCGAGTCAAGCCGGCGAGGGCCTGGTCGATTAGATAACGAACCACGGTAGTCTATTTCTGGAAATCTTTGGGTATTGAGACTCTGGATTCCAATATACTCGAGTATTACCACTTCTGTTTCTATTGAGGTGTTCGGGCCCGGTAAGGGGTATGTTTGGTGGACGGAATTGGGTGTAAAGTGGGGTCTACGGACATGGTTGTCCTTTATACGTTGACAGAGAGTCAACGGGTTTGGATCAAGTACTGCAAATGGGAATTTTGGGCTTCTGAGAGCCACCTGTATCCTTTCTATCTAAGGTGTTTGTTCATTTCCTTATTTGATATGTATATGTGACTAATTGAATCTGAAGTTCCATGATTCTTGACTGCTATTATTTCTGGTACCTCATTGAGTGTAAGCTCACCCCTTTCCCGTTATCTTTGTTTTCCTTACAGTGGACAAACTTTGAAATCATGGTTTTGGAAGGAAAGGTTGAGCTAGTGTATATGTTATTTTGTTAAGCTCTTTTACAATCACACCCTAATTGTATTTTGAACAGTATGAATACTTTGGCTTACACTTTAGTTTATTTGTTCAAGACTCCGATGTAAATATATATATAAGTGTTTAACCTTGTCTATTGAGTGTATTCAGTTGAGATGTTATGCTTCTATGGCTTTGGTGAACGTTTCTTGTAGTCGTTGGACGATCTGATGAGCGCAGCGTTTGAAAAGGAAAGAAGAAAAATTTTGTCAGAAAAATTCTTTGGAGAATCCAGCCGCATATCCGGCCAGTTCTTGGTCGGATTGGCAAGGCAAGTTGAAACAAAATTTGACCAGGCACTGCCTCGAATCCGGCTGTTAATCCGGCCAACTTCCGGCCGGATTGTGACGTGGCCTTTTCGTTTCATTTTCATTCTCGTTTCTCTTTTCATTAAAGTGTTTAATTGAAATCCCATACTACCGTATGGTTTGGTAAGTTCTATTTTGGATTTTAGTGGTCTCCAATTGTTCGTCTTCTTTGGGTTCTATCGCGCGTACTCTAGGGTTTGTGAGATTCGACTCCGTAGTCCTGGCGAGAGTTGGGCAGGCGGTCCGCCGAACCTTTTGGTTTGCCTTAGGGGGAGGTGGGGCTGGCATAGAAATGCATTTCCAAGTTACACAAAGGTGGATACTTGGACTCATTTGATTATGAATCATATGATATATGTGAAGCTTGTTTACTTGGAAAAATGACAAAAATACCCTTTACTAGAAATGGAGAACGGGCTAGTGATTTACCTGGGCTAGTACATACTGATGTATGTGGTCCAATGTCAATTACAGCTAGAGGTGGATTTTCATACTTCATTACCTTCACAGATGATCATTCTAGATATGGATATGTGTATTTAATGAAATACAAATCTGAATCTTTTGAAAAGTTTAAAGAATTCAGAAATGAAGTAGCGAAACAAATAGGTAAAAGTATTGTGACACTACGATCTGATCGCGGTGGAGAATACTTAAGTGATGAGTTTCGAGTTTATTTGAAGGATAATGGAATAGTTCCACAATGGACTCCTCCAGGTACACCACAGTTAAATGGCGTGTCTGAAAGGAGAAACCGCTATTAGATATGGTACGGTCCATGATGAGCCACTCAAGTGTTCCAAAATCATTTTGGGGATATGTATTGGATACTGCCTCCCATACTCTTAACAGAGTACCCACAAAGGTTGTTGATTCAACTCCATATGAAATATGGAAAGGGAAGAAACCAAATCTATTCCACATGAAGGTTTGGGGCTGCTCAGCTTATGTAAAAAGGGCAGAATCGGATAAGCTTGATGCTAGATTCGATAAGTGTTTGTTTGTAGGGTATCCAAGAGAGTTTATAGGATACTATTTCTACAACCCAATTGAGCAAAAAGTGTTTGTTTCAAAACATGCTATTTTTCTAGAAAAAGAGTTTATTCTAGAAAGAGACAGTGGGAGTAGAATAGATCTTGAAGAAATTCAAGATCATCAAACAAACATTGAGCAACCTGTTGAAGAACAACTTCAGCCACATAATGATGGTGCGCATACAGAACCTGTGGATATACAAGGGCCCTGTAGGTCAGTAAGGGTACGCTCAGCTCCCAAGAGATATGAATTTCTTATGAGTCAAAGCAATGATATACTAGTCATTCAAAATGATGAACCTACTACCTACCAAGAAGTGTTGGATAGTCCAGACTCCTCCAAATGGTTGGAAGCCATGAATTCCGAAATGAATTCTATGTACGACAACAAGGTATGGACCTTGGTTAATCCACCTGAAGGGATAAACCCTGTAAGGTGTAAATGGGTCTTCAAAAAGAAGATAGACATGGAAGGAAATGTGATTACCTATAAAGCTAGACTGGTAGCCAAAGGCTACAAGCAGAAAGAGGGAATCAATTATGATGAAACTTTCTCACCAGTAGCAATGCTTAAGTCCATTCGGATATTGCTTGCAATAGCGGCATATCATGACTATGAGATTTAGCAGATGGATGTAAAAACTGCATTCCTTAATGGAAATTTGCAGGAAGATGTGTACATGACACAGCCTGAAGGTTTTACATCTTCAAATCCTAGTCAAATATGTAAGGTACAGAGGTCCATTTATGGACTTAAGCAAGCATCTAGGAGTTGGAACATCCGATTCGATGAGACAATCAAAGAGTTTGGGTTTCTTAAGGATTCGGATGAACCTTGTGTATTCAAGAAGGTTAGTGGGAGTTCAATCTGTGACGACCCCACCTCCCCTTAGGGCGTACCCTAGGGTTTAGCGAGTCGCCTGCCCAACTCTCACCAGGACTCACTCACTCACATCAAATAATAGGGTGCAACCTCAATAATAAATGAAATAACAGTTCCCAAGTTTGGAACATACAAATACATTCATTTCTATCTCAACCAGCCATACAATCCCAAATATATCAAAAGATTGGAGTTCTAAATACATTCAACCCTAATCGAGCGACTAGTGCGAGTACAATTCCAAAATTTTCAAAAAAAACTAGACAATGCTAGCCTTACCAGTCTCACGCCTCGCTCATATCCCTTGTAAGGAAAACAAATGGCGTGAAATGAGCTAAAAACTCAGTAAGGTTCCAAATAGCAAGTTGACCATTATTTAAAAGTACAAGTATCAATGTAGCAAAATAGCGAGCATAACAAGTTCATAAAAGTGAGTAATAACACTTCAATTAACAATTCTAAAAAATGAGCGAGTATAAAGTTTTTTTAAAAGAAAAAAATAACCCAATAAGCAATAATCATTTCAAAGTATAAGGATACGGATGGCTCTCAGGAGCCAAGTTCCCATTGCTTCACCAGAGCTTGATCAAGTATTTTTTGACACTTTGTCAACTTTCAAGTAAAGTAACCAATCCAATAGTACTTCGCTCAACTCCAATCCATCCACACATTCAACCCCCTTACCAGGCTCGAACACCAACTAAACACTGGTGGTAATACTCGAGTATACCGATTAGTCGAGGAGATAACACTCCACTCGACAACACGAGATACCCATGGTTCATTATCTAATCGACCAATCCCTTGCCGGCTCGACTCGATTAACTAGCCAATGGGGTTTGGATCTCCAAAAAGTCAATGAGATAACACTCCAATCGACTGAATTAAGATAAAAGTACAGAGACGGGAATGAGAGGTACCTCCCACTCGCATTGAGTGTGGTACATGCTGCCGCTCAACACTTATAAGTCAAGTACAAGTATATCAAGTCAATTGCAACAATAAACAAGTATATATCATATTAGGGCAAGTGAGATAAAGTACACTCTTCCCCGATCAAACAAATTACATATCATTTATTTTTTAGGTGACTTGGTACACCTTAATCATTACCAAGTGGCGACTCCAATTTCTCATTCAAAAACCCTTTTAAAAACTATTTTTTTTGGGTCAAATCGTCGCTTTTTCCCAAGTCCCATTAAGACCCATGTCTTTTCAACTCACGAAAATCATTCTCCAATCACAATTGAATCAAAAACATCTTTCTCAAACCATTTATTTTTCTTATCAAAAAATGGGGCGCGACAGTTGGCGACTCCACTGGGGACTTCCTAAGTGGGTCCAAGCATTTTGACTTAACCATTCGTTTCCTCTTTCTACCCTTTCTATGCATGGCATGTGGATATTAGGATTGCATTTTTTATTTTAGGACCTTTTGTCTTATGTACATAATCAAACCAATCCCTCGACTCACGAATGTATGTTTGAATGAATGTTTACTTGTTATCTCGCGCTTGCATTGCATTTTTGGGAGGTATGGGTCACCCTAGAGCCTCGCGTTGGTTCTTGACCCTTCCCCTCCAAACGAGCACTAGCATACGAGCATACGCTTTACTTCTTTTATCCCTTTTATTTTCTTTTAGTGGCTTGTCACGCCACTCCACCCTGTTAGGATTTTAGGCGACCTACTTGGACGTGTGATCGTGACACGACGTGTGCGTAGCACGATCCGAGGGGTCACTTAATCTTCCGCTTTAAGCTTTGGGTTAATAGCCTATAGCTTTTAGTCGAAGATTGAGGATTTTTTATAGATTCACTCAGACATGTGGCCGTGACACGACGTGTGCGTAGCAATGTCTGGGGAATCACTCGAACCACCGACAAAGAACCTTGGGATTGATGACCCTTGGTTTCTAAGTCTGAAGGCTCGGGGACCTATGACCTATCGAGTCTAGATACATTAGTGAGCCCTAACCTCATGCATCCATGATAGAATTGCCTAGGGTAGAGCCGGCCTTATCCTGAACTAGGACACTATTCACGAGGGGAGGGGTCCAACCCCTTTCTCCTTTTATTGCTTTATTTCCTTGTGTTGATTTCGTTGTTACAATGTGTTATATGTATTTATCTGACTGGGCTAACTTTTCTTGGTTTTGTGCCCCATTGCATTCACAAACATTAGCAAATAAGAGGTCTGGCATGATCTTCTTTTATGGCCTACCCGTGTAGATAGGACATTACACGTTTAAAAGTTTTGGTATAATGCACTCATAAGTTAATAATGTCATATCATTCTAGGCCTACCCTGGCAGATAAAGGGTTCCTTAGGTCACATTTCATTCATCAAATTGCATTTTTTCCTGCTTTAATAACTGGCATCATGCACTAAACCCTAGAAAGGGAATGCCATTTAGGGGATCCCGTGTTAGGAATAAACCACCTTGTGTCTCGGATACTTAATCCAAAAAGACTTGCACGTTTACATTTTGTACCATCCAAAGGGGTAGTGCACAAGGTAAGGTAGGATCCGATCGTCTTCATAAGATCAATTTTTGGAATATGAGCGTCTAATAATCACTTTTTGGCCATTTTATCAAAATTGGTAAAATTCCCTTGCGTAAAAGGACATTAATTTGAAGAAATTCACAAGTAATTCCTCCCTGTTGAGACAATAAATAAATTGAGGCCAAATCGTGATTTTAGAAGGCTCATAGACTAATTTTTTGAAGCCACCAATGGCCATACGATTCAATCGATCCATTTTTGTCAATTCAAAATCAATTTTGAATAAACCATTCATTTGACCAATTTACCCTTTTTAGGGTCATCCGGTCAATTTTTGAAAAATCATCCATTCATTTGATCAATTTACCCTTTTTAGGGTCACCTGGTCGATTTGGAATAAATCGTCAATTCATTTGACCAATTTACCCTTTTTAGGGTCATTTGACCAATTTACCCTTTTTAGGGTCATCCGGTCGATTTTGAATAAATCGTCAATTCATTTGACCAATTTACCCTTTTTAGGGTCATTTGACCAATTTACCCTTTTTAGGGTCATCTGGTCGATTCTGAATAAATCGTCGATTCATTTGACCAATTTACCCTTTAGGGCGATCTGGTCAATTTTGAATAAATTTTCAATTTCATTCAATTCATTTGACCAAGTTCCTTTTTTAGGATGATTCGGTCAATTTTGAGTAAGTTTTAAATTTCACTCAATTCATTTGACCCGTTTCCCTTTTTAGGGTAATCCGGTCGATTTTTAATAAATAGTCAATTTCATTTGACAATTAGGGTTTCAATGTCGGATTTCAAAGCTTAGTCGATTTTTGAGAAAACCATCCATTGTATCCAGCCATTTGATCAGTTGGGGTTTTGACCCGTAATTCACTGAGAAATTTTATCAACGAATTCCAATCTCTTTGATAGGAAGTTCGTCAAGGTCAAAACCGTGCGTTTTTGCAAAAATCTTGTATTGATCAGAAGTGGTCAATCCATTCGGCGTGGACCTCATTTTGCAAAAATTACTTTCACTCAATGAGTTGATCAGATCCATCAGGTATGGTATGGTGCCTACCCTAGAGGATTGCATTTTCATGCTAGGCCTACCCTTGGCACAAAAAGGGTTCCCCATAGGACATGCATCCGAATTTTCTGGATATCTACTAACTCTTGCCTTTTTCTTTTCCTTTTCTTTATTTTTTTGGAATAACTAAGCAAGGGTTGAATCTAAAGGCAATTCCTTTCAAAATTCTCAGGTAATATTTAAACATAGCTTCTCGTCGAAGCCCCATCATAACACGATCCCGTAGTCAAGTTCAGAGGAGTCGTGTAAACATGAGTC